ATTACAGGTGAAGGACACAAAAAATATTCACATGATCCTTTCTAGGTATACGGGTTTTTACCCTTGATTAAAAGAAGGAACACAGGTTACGGTACCTCCATAATTAAGCAGACACCAGCATAGACAACGCCCATTCATGTTAGAGATAGCAGCTCCTTAGCTGGCTCTATTCGTACGGGTACATGAATAATATCTGTTTTGTTTTTAGTTTTTTCAGCGATAAGGCAGTGAATGCTAACTCACAGAGCTCGCCCATGATGTAAACTCCCAGGCACGCTACCATTTAGATTAAATGGCGAAGTGATGTGCTTAGGCAGCTCTGACGGAAAAACCAATTGCCTGCTGTGCATCGCATTTCAACACAGGAACACTTCTTTGACACAGTGAAACATTGAAAAGAAGGATTATTAATGAAAGGATAAAGCTCCCGGCGTTGATCAATCCCTGAGGAATGCACCATGCATTCGACTTCATTAAGCATCGTTGGAGACGATTGAATGCATATCTGGCCTTTACTCGCAGTGGCCTAACGATGTATCGAACCAGAGCTGCTATCCTCCCAGACAAATCCTGTACCAATTTGCCGACCGCGGAGGATGAAAAGGCTTGATGGGCCAGGGGCGCCCGGATCGTTCCACGTGCGTTTCGCAATGGCGCCTCCAACCATTGCGCCACACGCGTCCATATTAATAAACACGGCAATAATTTTCTTAACCTTTTTATTTACTGCCTATTCTTTTTAATGGCAGGGTATGTTGCGAAATATAACTCGTATAATGCTGAGATATTTGCAAAACCTCGGGCCGCAGGTGTCTGCGGTGGGGAACGAACGCGTTATTGTCCTTTCACCGGAAGTTAGCGCTTTCACCACCGCACCATACAGGTCCTTCGTTTCGCCTGTCTCTCAACTAGTTCTATCGATCTCTGTCATCAGCAATCACCCTTGAGTTGACTTAGATCCTTTGTTGGGCTGATGTACCACAAATATTTGCGATTAGAATATGAATGCGTAGTTTTCTTGTTCAGCAATCGCGAGGTTGTTGTACACACACATTTACTTCCATAGAAAAACAAAACGGTGCTAGATTGGGAAAAAGTTCACTCCACTCTTTCCGAACGTACGTTGGAACTGTCACGACCGACTTTCTATTAACCTCGGCATTGATCAAGTGATTTTGTTCGTATTTTTTTGAGCAAACGCGAGGTGTTATTGTTCTTTGTTCACGATTAAGCTGACGTTTCGGCGAATTTCGCCTTCTTCAGAGCCTGGAAAGGTCAAGTTGATAGCAACTCACTCGGCCAGACGCCTCCATAACCAAACAAAGAAACCCCAAACCAAGATTTCAATCACTTTGAACACAGCTTTGCACACTCACCGCTTTCTATGAGGTCTCCACTAAGTATGTCACGTAGAGACCAACCGTACAGAAATCACGTGGAAGTATAATGTGCCCCTCATATCAGAAAAGCAGTTTTATATACTGCCCTATATCACGCGTGATAATGAGGCATTCTTCCCTGCGGTTCATTTTCGGATTTCTGGAATTAATCCAGAGTGCCTCGAGGGTTTTTCGCGCCTGTGTTCTCGATTCGCGTGCGAGGATCGTGACACATACTTCGAAGTCGTCCCCGTTATGTCTCTGGGTCCTATGCGTGCCTAGCGGGGTATTTGGTCTATTTTTGCCGGCTAGGTGTTCTTTCATGCGGACACAGAGGGGTCTACCCGCTTCGCCAATGTATTCGTCACCACACGTCTTACAGGAGATCAGATAAACTATACCCGAGCTCATGCAATCACCGTCTCTACCACTGGGGCAAATTATGCAATTTTGAGTTGCACATAGACGGTCATATAGGCGGTTACGAACTAGCTGGCGCTTAAGATTACTCGGTGGTATTTCAACTACGCTCACCGAATTCTCTAAGCCCGCCCTTCTTAAGCAGCGTTTTATAGCTGTACTTATATCATTTGAGATGAAGGGTAGGATAAACGGGACCCTTCTATCGCTAGAGTTGTCGTTTGGAGGCCTACGATTTCCTCTACACCTATCCTGAGCTACAGTTTCGTAGCCATTAGAAACGGCTATTTGCCGTGCCAAGTTCCGGGACTCCTCTCTCTGCTCTCTTCCCGTGCACACGTTGGTTGCTGTTCGAAACATGTTTCTTTCTTTTCGCTCTTTTCGTGTGAGAGGGGTGAGAGGAGAGGTAATGAACCAAGATATTTTTACTACTTGGCTTTCGGTACCACTTTGTAATGTAGCCATTTTCTGACAGGTGAATTTATCAATTGAATTTTTTTTTATTTATTTATTTTTTATCAACTTGACCTTTCCAGGCTCTGAAGAAGGCGAAATTCGCCGAAACGTCAGCTTAATCGTGAACAAAGTACGTTGGAACTGTTTCTATGCACGGTTTCGACTTAACAGCAATCAGTCACTTAGATTCCTAACGATTAATCTGTGTCGACTGTATTAGTTGTTCCTCGTAGAAATTTCATAATTGCTTCATCACATAAGAGAGAGGAAAAATGGACGCTTTTTGTATTTTCCATGAGTCACTAAACAGTTATTATTGTCCTCCCGATCTGAACTTTAAACTCAAGAACTATCTTTGGTTTCAAATGAACTTGCGCTCATCCTGCACTTTCCATGTCCTCATGGAGGAGGATGGCAGAGCTCCTGCTCAGGATTGGACTGGTAAGATCATACCAACTCAGCACTTTGCCTCACCAAGATTAGCTCGTTCTTTTTTTTCAAACACTCCTTCTAGCTGCTTTAGCATCTTCCGAGGTCATTTTTGCACTTGTCTCTACTGCTTTATGCCCTACTTTGAACTTGTAAAGTAAAACGTATCAAAAACTAATCTTCTTCCTAAGAGGCTCAAAAAAAGGAATAAATAAAGGCTCACCAGGGTTTATAGTAAAGGTATCGCTCAAGTAGTCCAAGAAATTCATTTAGTCAGGTATACTTTCGGAGAGAGGCTTGTGTAGAACAGTGGTGGTGCCCAGCGATACACACGATGCCGTTAGTTCAATCTCGCGCCCCTGGTTCGCCAAGCTTTCTATCCCTCCTGGGTCGGCAAATTGGTACCAAACTTGTCTAGAACGATAGCAGAACAGATTTAATAGATCAGCCGAACCTCACATATCATTATTTAGGCAAAATGTGCATTCGATCACTTAAACGATGCACAATATAGTCGAATGCATTGCCCATCTTTTAGGATTGATCAGCACAGAACGCTCTACTTTTATTTATTTTCCGTCATGTCCTTTTCCATGCTTCACACGAAATTCATAAGGCTACTAAACCCACGTAAATATCTCAATCATAACAGACCGCTCACTTTTATAGAGTTCGATTATGCGAGTCACACAACGATAAAATCTAAAACTTCATCCAATTTTACGTGATTGTAACTCTTCATAACTGTTTATCAACGTGCTAAAGTGCAACGTGCATAACTCGTGTCTGCTTATTGATGAAAAACATTGAATTATCAATTAATGCCGAGGTTAACAGAAAGTCGGTCATGGGAATTACTATGTTTATCAACGTTTATCAACACCCTCAAGAACACCATTCTCGGGAAAATTGAAATGGGACAGTTGTTCTCACATTTTACATAACCTGGTACCTCACATTGTGCTGTTTCCACATTTTATTCATTTTTGATTCCCCCTGACATTATGGGATACCCATTTTAGGGTATTCCAAGGTCTTCACTACAAGCCGTCGCTAGCCTTTGTGAATTTGAGGGCATGTTGTTCAAACAACTCTGATAGCAATTGTCAAGACCGAGTTTGTATTAATCTCGGCAATAAACAACTCGCTGTTTTCTTGATAAGCAACGATTCAGCAGTTTGTTCTTTTGCTTATTAGGAAAACAGCGAATCTACCAATAATTCCTCGAACACGAAAGGCTGGGATGTTTAGTTGGCTTTGTGCGTTGTCGAACTACAGCCTTGTACGTATTAAACGGTACCACCACAACTACACTAGCCGCACTTTCTGGAATAGAATGTTATTTGAGTTAAAATTGATGGCAAGCAGCTATACCACCTTGGTTTCACTGATGATATCGCTCTCATATCACCACATCAATACTCTTGAAAAATGAACTGCAGTAGATCATGACCGCACAGGATGAGCTTGGTTTACGGCTGAAGCTAAATCTACATCCAACGGAACGACAACCTCCTAATGTTCCACGTTTCTGATGTGAATGATCATTGTGACAAATGTTTAAGATCCACAAATGAGCAACAGGAGTCGAGCAGCATCGTTAATTTACACGAGCGTCAACAACACAGCTCAGACTCTTCCTATTAGACCTACGTCGTTCTATACGCTTTAGCACAGTGCGGAACTATGGACAAAACGTAGTACGAGCGCTGGAGGATAACCGCACATACAATACTAATGACAGATAGTTGAATGCTCTTGCGAAAGTCAGATGTCACAAACCATTTGGCACGACCCTTCGTGCTTTCGGACAAGAACCCTTAGATAAGCAACGACTTACTATTTCCTACTAGATGTCAAGAACAGTGATACGACCAAATATCCGATGAGATTTCGTAAAAGTCCTGAACTAGATGTCTGTTACTCGGCGCATTTTTCAAACAACAGTCTACTGCGGTAGTGTGGTACGCAACAGAGATGAATGAAAACAATAGACTTCTTAATAACTCAAAAAGACATAGAACAATAGTAGACCCTCTCCTCGGTTGTCAATCAACAATTGGACACATTAGTATAGAGGTCATTCCTTCAAAAATGTACCCATCCGAAATCGTCTGCAAAATTCTTCATGACAATGCGAACTGTATGCCCGTGTAAAACATGCACAATGCTTCCTCTTCCCATTTGACAATCGCTCCTTACAGTTCCTTACAGTACATGAACAATCAGGAAATTTTCATTGAAGGTGCTACAACAGGAAACAATAATAACATTTATGAGTGGAAAAACGGGTTGTATAACAAGAAACAATCCCGTTCATTTCTTTGTACCCTTTTTCATATCAGTCTCAGAAGACCTAGAGGCGGAGGACCTTCTTCGGGCAACTTTTTGGTCTTTGACCTCCTGAAAGTCGACAGGGTTTCCAATGTATAAAATATTCGACAAATAAACATAGAGAACCCACCTTAGCGAATTTAGTCATGAGCTTGTGATAAGCAGCAGCTTCCTCGCGGGACTTGTTTCGCTGTTGAATCTTCTTTCTGAGCAGTGCTTTGCGCCTTCCAATTACAGTTGGGGTGATTAGCCTCTGAATCTTCGGGGCAATCACACGAGGCGGCTTTCCTAAACATTTCCACCAATACTCGTACTGCTGTATGTGCCCACTAAAGCTAGTAATTCTAGAAATCATGTCATCTATCCACGAACCAAGAGCCATATGATACAAAAGCATTACGCTAAAGTCAGAGGCAAAAGGCAGATACTGTAGATAGTTTCTTTAGCTCTTCTCACATACTCCCTTTCCACAATAATGTTGGAAGTGGAAGTATACAGAAAAGAGCGAAATTAAAGAAAGAACAAGAAATAAACACCCTACCTTCACCACGCGATTTCTCGTGAGTTATGACGTATTTGGTCACGTCATCTTCTTTGGAAAGGTTGAACAGTTTTCGGATTTTCGTTGCTCTTTTGGGACCTAGGCGACGGGGAAGAACTTTGTCAGTGAGACCTTCGATATCTTGGTCACCTGAAAAGAAGAACGAATGGTCACGAAATCTGCTGTTTCGGAATAGGAACAGATTAGATGTCCAGCATTATAGGATTCGGTCCATGTAATAAATCTCTTAGTATGGAACTATATAAAAGCAGAAGTACAAGGTTTACTAATTGATACCACAAACGCGATAGTTATGAAAAAAGTGCGTATAAACTTCACTGCAAAGCGGCTGAAATTGGGGCTTCGCAAAAACTAGGAACTTAAATACGGAGCACACTCGCTTTTCGAGCTTTTCCACAGTAAATCACCAAAAACTTTCTTTTCAAAAAAAACTTCAATCTATCTTGGAAACAGGGAACTCACTACCACGTATCCCACCTGGTGTTTTCGATGAGACCTTGGAGGAGTTCCCGGTTTCAAAAATGCCTTATATACTCACGTTAACTGACTTCTGATAGTTCATGGATATATTGCAGCTACAGTTAGATAGAAATTCAAAACAATGACATGAACCGGAGAACTCGGATTGCAAAATGATTACAATATGGTCAGAACTCGCCAATTCGGCTAGTATCACTGATGTAGACACGAAATAGAGCCGTAAGTTTACAAAGTTTTCCACTTAAGACACGAAGATGATGTACGATCCAAGTCATCAACATTCCACCCTACACTGAACAGCACAAGTTTCAAACATAACTGCTCCTTACTCACCCTTCTTCACAACTACGAGAGAAAGCACTGAAAGATTAGCGTCAACGATGCATCCACGTACAGACTTTCTCTTTCTTTCACCATCTTTTCTAGGTCGATAGCACGAATCTCCCTTTGCGAGCAAAAGACGAACACGTCCATTCGTCAACACACCTTGTTTCATTGGGAAACCTTGCTTATCATTTCCACCGGTGATGCGGACAACGTATCCCTAAAATCAGCTCGCTCGAGACGGTTATAAAAGTTAATGCACAGCACCTGTGAAAAAGGAACCATGCAGTTTTCCCACTAGACAAGCATGAAAATTCACACCTTCCATTCTTCTCCAAGACCATCAATCTCAACTTCTTGAGCCATGCGTTTGTCGTAGAAAATACGTAACTTCTTCTCGTCATCAATCTCAAACAACTTTTGTTGACCCGTCGCCGGGTTAGCGAAATTGAGTTTCATCCTCACGGACGGCGCTTGTTACCTACAAAAGATCTCCACAATGTAAAACCATGAAAGGGCAAAACATCGGAAACTCAAGATAACGAGCAGAGAACAATAAGCTTAAACTAAGCAGCGGAAAATATCGCCGTTTAAAAAGGGGAAAGCGACAAGACGTTAGCCTAAAAGAAGTCTCGTATTCCAATCTCATGTCCGCTCAAACATATAGGAAACTACTGTTTGGCCTTATAGAGGTCTGATGAAATTCGGTCCTTAAAAAATCGTCACTCGTCTGCTAAATGCAGTTAGAAGCACACTAAATTTCAAACGAAAGAAGCTTTAACCAAAACATTAACCAGCAATTCAAGCCCTTAGGCCTCCGTTAAAGAAACCTAGAATTTAAAGGTTCGGTTGAATGGAGCACAGAATCCTGTTTCTACTTAGGACCCTCGCTGGAGTTACCGTAATCTGGCACCTTGTCAAATCCAGAATTGTTCGATACTTGTACCGCATAAGGATTTCTTACTGTTGGGATGTATCTCACGATATACCACTGATGTTGAGCTCATGAACAAGAACTAATCTGTTTTCGATATCATCGAGCATTCGCTTCCGTTATCGCTTGCAGCAGTTCCATCAGAATCCTTTGTTCCTCAACTTTATCGCTCTGTCTTTGTATTTTTGTCGTGTTTCTATTTATCCCTAGAGAAAAGTAAGTGAAGGAAACCAGTTATAGGTACATCTAAAGAACAAATGGTTGACTGTCCTCATATTACGGCCTCGGTATGCATTGCGGCAGTGAATCTCTCGCAGTTGCAGCTCTTGCGAGAGTTCAACGAAGTGGAGTACGGAGGACGATCACCGTTAGACACACAATGCAAGAGCCGAAACAATCGTGAAGAGACGTGAGTTCCTTTTTTTGGCTTGGGAAAAGTCCCATGCCTTCATGAGTGGAACCTTACTGGGTTCTCCCTTGTGCAAATACCAAAGCAGGGGGTAACGAGTTCTTCAAATTTCATAAATTCTTTCGAGAAGAGAAATCTCCTACGGTTTTAGTGCGTTATTGTCACTGCGTTTTGAAGTTGTATCACCTGTCGTCGCGTAGATCGTCGAGTGACTCAAGCCGGCGCCAGTAAATCTTAAATTTTTCGCTATCGCGTGTAAGAGGAGCATAGTGGGTTCTGGTCGCTCTAGGAACTCGTTGAGCGTCATATCTTTCTAGGCGTTTCGTGAAGAACTCCGGCTATAGGGTCAGTGGTCTTCCTGCGGTGCGTTTAACATCCCGAGGAATCCAGTCACCAATGGCTCTTGTCCATCGGGTGTCATTCATACGCATTACGTATCCGGCCCACCTTATCTTCAACTGTTTGGTGTACAGAACGGCATCCTTGGTTTCTGGTCGTTGACGCAGGTCGGAGCTTCGTATTCCTTCTCCAACTCGTATGGCACGGGATACTCCTAGCATCGTCCTATCGACCGCGCGTTCAATAACGTTGAGTGATCTGTCTTCCTGCTTACGCAGCGATCAGGTTTCTAACGCATACGTTAAGGCAGGAAGCACCGCTGAGTCGAAAAGATGAGCAGGAGTCGGGTGTTCTTTGTTCTCTTCACTACATCCTCAATGCTCTTGAAAGCTCTCTAAGCCGCTCGTTCCCTTCTGTTCAGCTTTGGAGCTAAGTCGTTCATCATTTTGATCTCCCGACCTAGACAGATAACTGGAGCATGAGAGTCGACTAAACGATCTGAATAAGTCCCAGTTAAAGTGGTTTTCTGATTTCGATTTTTGAATTTCGCCGCTTTCTGTCTTTCCCGCAAAGACTGGAGTCCCATGGAAGTGGGGCTATGGTCTGACCTCACATGGAATTTTGCGGCAACACCAGCATCGGTTAGGCAAAACTACCGAATTAGTTTGATGTGTTCTATTTCTTTATGGCACTCTCTATTGAGGGACTTCCACATTCAGCATTGAAAGCGGGACTCCTGGAATTGTGAGTTACATGTTAGTTACAATGCTCTTGGTCGTTATAATAAACTAAGATATCCACTCTCCTTGGTCCTTCTGTTCTAATCCGTTGGTCCCAGTGTGGCATCCTTTATACAATCTTCAGGGTCCAATCTCAGAGTTAGGATATCCAATAATGAGTGGAAAGGATTTATGATCTCCTCTATAGAACTTCGCCAGGTACACATAGAATGGTCCATATTGAATGTCCATAAGAAAAATCAAAAGCTGCATAACAGGGACAGGTCACATTTCCTATGTACTCCTCACTCCCAAATTTCGTCCATATATCTTTTTCTCTTCAAATTCCACCCAGAAGTTAGGTGCGCCACTTTGAAAAATATTGCGAATGATTATACCTCGGCAGTCAATTGTCCAGTTCTCGAATGCCAAGTGTTGCTGAGCGCGTTTCCGTTTGTTTATGTCGGTCTTGTAACTGTCATTCATGCTGGTGATCAAGTTCATGAGTTTGTTTGACTGCATTTCGAGAATCCATCGTTTTCTGTCATTCATACATTAGATGCTGGTCAACATAGATTTCTCTGCAATCACTAAGCAGGAGTTTTCGTTGTTGCCCACTATCGTCAGTCGTTGTGGATCTGAGGGAGGTTTGCTGTTTTGCGATTGGGATTCTAGGACGAAAGTGACCTATGCCATTTTGGTCGACCGATCTAACATGATGTAATGGGTCGGTTCTTCAAGATGTCCATAGTAAACGGCGACAAACTGTCTATTCCTGTCTCATCCTGAATTCTTCTTCGTTTTCGTACTTCATCTCTTTTTCATGGTCAGGTACAAGTGTTTTTAATGCATGTGTCTACTAAACCTAGCATTACAAATCGCCCCTCATCTCTCCTTATAATTGTACAGAAATGCTAAACAAAGTCAATCTTTGTTTTTATACTCTGATTTGGCGTAAAACAACAACGGTTGTATTGTTCTTGTACTCAGCAGTGATTGATGATACAATTAGTTCTTGTTAAGGATAAAACTAACTGCTTTTACAGGGATAAGATTCTGTGGAATTGTGTCACGTGTGACTCATCGGAAAGTCCGTGGCTATGTCTGGCTTGTGGCCTAATTTTCTGTGGTCGATTCGTGAATGCTCACGGATTGAAGCACCACAATGAGATGAAATATCCTCGTCACTGCGTTCTGATGCATTGTCAGACGTATGAAGTATTTTGGTACGCTGCTTTTTTTGTTCCAACAGCTTTTTGTATTAAAAAAGTGGGTAAGGAGAAAAGTAAGGAGCATATCTACATGTGTAAATGTATACATACATGCATATACATGTACGTATTCGTCTACGTTTATACATAGATGCGCATAAGTATACCTGTATGTGTACATATACGTATATATATGCGTGTGCATGTGTAAATATATATATACGTAATATATACATGTAGACATGTATGTTTATACATACATGTATGTATTCGTTTCTTCTTAATGGGTAAGCGCTAATGCTTTGTATACTAAAGGACTATGCTTATAACACATTAATTATTACTATTCCAATAGTGGTCTGTTTTTTCTGACTAATGAAGTCGTAGGTTTCCGCAATGAGGGCACGATGTAAGGTTATGTAGTATTGTTTCTATAAGAAAGAAAATGTCATCACGCGTGGTGTATTTCAAGTTTTTAAACATCTATTAATAGACAAACCTCTGAATTCAAGTGACAAGGAAGAGGAAATTCTTATACTTTACACAAGGTTTTTGAATCCTGAAAAAATATGGACAAATTTTTACCAGATCTATTGGGGAAATATGGGCAAATGCACAATCATGAACAATATCATCAATTCGATGAAATGATCAAATATGACGGCACATTCATGTATCGGGCCAGTTCGGGAATAATTATTCTTTTATCGTTGTGAACAACTTGTAATAGGTCTTTTTAAGTATGTCTTTGGTCTAAACAATGGTTATGAACGCGCATCAATGATTGACGTTAACTATCTGAAAACGATAAGCGTTGTTGACCACTTGAAAACCACTTAGAGGATCCACGAGAACTCAGTGTTAGGTAGTCAGCAGTAGATCGTCATCTCTGAGATAGTTGAGGAAGCAGAAAGCTCAATGACAACGATAGACGTGGTGAAACTTCAAACGTTTCCGAGATCGAAGTGGCGTCAACCCAATGTTGTGGTAAATGTTGTATGATATGCAGCCTTATTGTTTCTCTGAGCCATGACGAAGCAGTCACGACAGGAAGATGTCCTTAGGAAATAAATCAATGAAAAGGAGAAAGCCTTCAGCCTTGGTCAATTCCTCAAAGGTGCATTCGACTCCGCTAAGCGTCATGAGAAGGTTGGATGCGTATTTGGTGCATGTGATAACTTGTGGGAACTTACCGTTGTATCAAATCGATGTTCTGTTCTTCTAAATAAGTCCGGTAGCAATTTATCAATAAGGATGGTGGGCTTATTTTTCAAGGAGTGCAGGATCGAACCGGGGACGGTGAGCATAAAAGAAGCATCTTTAACCCAGTGTACGCGCCCCAATTTTTGGACCGCGCCATAACCAGCACATTTGGATACCCTTTTTACTTACTATTTTTAACTTGACCCTGCAGGGTATATTGATCACAGCACTTCTTTCATTCGCTTCATTTCCTCGCGTCAGTGGTCTACGAATGTCTTTTAATTTCTGTGCTTGTTCGGCTAGCGTTTGAGAACTTTGTCTCCTTCATGGGTTTCGCTGAACGCTGGTTGAACTAGCCCTCATTTGAATCTTGAGATGTTCCCTAGAGCATTCCTAGATGTTCATCTCAAGCATTGTCGGCCTATGTGAGTTAGAGAGGTTCTTCTCAGGCAGGTTTGCTGCCATTTTCCCAACCTGGGAGGGATGCGAGAACTTATTTGGGTGAGGCGGATTTCAGCTAACCTTCTGAGTTTTACTTAAGGGTATCTCTACTACTGCACTTACTGCATTCCACGCCCATAATTTTTCAACGGAAATGTTCCATTCCTTTTTGTGAAAGCAATCCATCGTACGTTGTGCAACTAAGCCTACGGAAGTTGAACTGATGAAGTTCCGGAGCTCTGCCTCATTCAGTGAACTTATCGTTATGTCGCCAACGAGCTACTTTTTCGCATGCCTCAGCAGCTAGAACTTCGAAAACTCTGGAATTTTTGCTATAAATAAAAGAAAAAGCTCTTGGCATTGATCAATCCCTGAGGGATGCGCCACGCATTCGACTTCATTAGGTGTCGTTGGAGGTGAATGGATGCATATCTGGCCTTTACAGTGACTCGCGGTGGCCTGCCGATGTATCGAGCCAGTGTTGCTATCCTCCCAAACAAGTCTGGTACCAATTTGCTATCCCGGAAGAATGGAAGGCTTGATGGGTCATGGGTGCGGGAATCGATTTCACGTATGTCGCAGTGGCGCCTCCAACCACTGCACCACTCTCCCTTTTTTGCTACAGAAATTAATAAATTCGTGCCTTCTTGTTAATGTGTAAATTCTATGAATTGATTAATGAAGTCATCCTTGAGACAAGCTACTAAAACATCTTTCTCTGTTTGCATTGTGAAATCGTCGGTAGCCGCTGAACTTCTTGTCACCTAAGTATCATGCTGTCTTAAGGGTCTAGTGGACGGCGCGTAATGTAGCAGTGTTTCTAAAACCAACTCGCTTACGGTATTGTGCACCGTAGGTGAAGCAGAATTAGTTTGTATGAACAACAGCTTCATTCCTTATGATGGGTATCACTTTATTAATGTCAGTTCAAAAAGATTACGTGTTGTATTACGAAATCGGATAATTTCAAACAAATACCTAATGTGTAAACGTCATTTAAAGGAAAAATCATCTCTTTCCTTACTGGCGTACTGTGCACGAATTGTTTTCAAGGTCTATAACTAGAGAGGTGGAATTAAAGGTTTAAAATGCCTATCATCTGTTCCTTTTCGAACCACTGAAGACATTTTTACTCTTCTAAACCTATGTGGTAAACAATTAATTTATCACATTCTTTTTTGAACTCGCAACATTTTTTGGCAGTAGCCTTTCCTCGAGAGGTGAAGCATCGTATAAAAGGATTTGTCGAGTGTCTTTATGTCACTCTTTAGCTATGTTTGTGATGACTTTGTTGGCGATGATACTGAAGATGGAAAGATCTCTTCTATTCGTCACTCTTTGGCTTATTTCAACAAAGCCAGGTTGGTGAACAAGATAGTGCTATCAGTGAGCTATTGCTTGCTTCACCGTATGTGTTCTTATGTGCCCAGTTAAAGTGTAATTGCTGTATAGGTATGAGAATAACTTAATGGAAAAGCTTAGCTGATATAAGGTTCGAAAACAATCCCCCAAAGTATGTTTTGGTTTGTATAACGTGTCACAGTGAAGTCGAATATACTGAATATGACAGAATGTTCAGATTCTTTTTTGAAGAGGATGCCTGTTATTGTTGCTTTTTGCGACATCTGACCAGTGTTTTCAAGGCGTATACAGAAACATTTGAGTATAAATCGTTGTGAATGAGGGCTTCGAAGTACATTGAATACTGCTGTAAACAAGGGTTTGTGTTAATTTCGACGTTGTAGGGTGTGCTAGCATTTTTGTCGAACATCACACTGCTTGTTCGGGACTCATTTGAATTTCGAATTTTATTACCAAGAAGCAGTTTTTCAAGAAATCACTGGAATTGCTCGAGAAGCAACCTTTGTTATCTCATTTAACCTCGTGCTTCGTACACTCCTTCTTTTACCACCTCGTCCGAAAACGTTACTCTGTGGCGAACTGCGATGAACAGTTAGGGCTTATTCCCAGTGTGGAATTCTAAGGTGAAAAGGAATTCCCCATTTACACTTGGAGGTCCAGCTAATAGGTAATAAATACCGAGATCGTAGTAATTCATTCGCACGGCAGCAAAGTTCTTTTTTCCACAAGGACATCCAACAAATATAGTGAACCTAGGCAAGCTGATGTTCGACGTTCTGAAGACTAGATGAAAAGTGGCTGGTCATCGTATAATCATTCGATTGAGAATTGATCTGGAAACTGCGTTTTTAGTTTTTCCTCGTAAACTTGATCAATTCTACTATTTAAGTAATATGTTTCTTAATGAAATTCGAGGCGCACTTTAACGAGTAGGCACTCGTACAAATAGTGGTGATTCGATTTACGCCTTCATGGCAATCAACCCTTCATCGAACTTTAGCAATAGAAGAAAGATTGAGACATTGGCTTGTTTATTGGCTGTATTCAACGTCTGCTATAGGCCAAAACAGTAGATCTACGACAGCCAACGACAATTGATTTAGTGACTGGACCGCGATAGAGCTTCGTAGTACTTTTCAAAACCGAAATTGTAAAACCAAAAACCAAAAAAAAAGTCGTGCTGACCGCCTGCTGATCCACAGCGGACTGGCCTTTCACGGCTTTCTGAATCAGGCTGAAATGATTACGGCGGAGAAGTACGCTCAGTAAATCGCCGAAATACATCGGAAGCTTCACCGTGTGCGCTGGGCGTTGTTAAGCGGAAAGATAATAATATTTCTCCACAATAACACGCATCCCACACGTCGCACTACCGACGGAGCAAGGGTTGAATGAGCTGTGATACGAAGTTCAGCCTCATCCACCAGACTAGTTTAATCTCCTGCCTATCACCTTCCACTTCTTTAAGCACCAAGAAAAATTTTTTTCTGAGAAATGCTTGAGAAGCCAAGTAGAGGCCGGAACTGCCGTCAGCGACTTCATCGTCTCCAGAAATTCAGGTATAGTGTCATTGGAATAAATGAATGTTTCTCATCGGAAAAAATGTGTAGGTTCTAGTGGCTTTCGTTTCGATTAATAAATTTGTTCTCAACTAAGATATGCCATTTGAAAAAGACCGGTTGAAATGCTTGTTTATATTCCGAACAACCTAGGTTTCTTAACATGGACCATATGGTCTAGTTCTCCAGTGTATTTGTTATGACAGCTTTATAGAGCTATTATTAAGTTCTGTCTATATTTTTCGTGGTTTCACCTTCAGATGTTCTGACCATAATTACTCATCTCAACTGTATGTTACATCACATGAGCTTTCAATGTATGATGCTGAAGACCTGGTGGATCTGACTACAGAAGAAGAGGATGAGGTTATTACCCAAACTGTAGCAAAGAGGTATTCTACGTTTTTATTACCTGTTATTTTAAATGTGACATTGTGACCTTAATTTTACATTTTTTAGAGTAATCCAGCTAGACGAGGACAGTGGCTCTGTCCCCGAGGATGAAGGTCGCCCGGCACGTCAAACATCGAAAGATCAACCGTTGGATGTAGTTCCTGACATCGGTGTAAACAGGTCCGGTCCACTCGTTGGTGGCAGGGCGCTACGCCCACGCAAGCGAAAGGTGAGCTGTGGTCTGTATTTATGAGAACCTGAGGTTCAAGATAACAAGGAAGACTTAAATATGAAGGTTTTAAAAGTGAATATGATTAAGGGAATCGTTCTAACACACTAGTAACTACAAGGCTATGACGCTGGATTTTTAAATAAATAATTGAATGTATGTGTCTACGTAAAACTTTTCTTTGATTTGTCAAAGAATGCACTTAGCTTGTTGTTGTGCGAACTAGCATTTTCACTCTTACACCATGATTTTTAAGAGTTTCACATTTTCACCTTCATGCTCACCGTCTCCCGAATCGAGTACGAACCACGTTATTGAGAAGCAGCCTCGACAACGTGTTGAATTGCGGGGGTTGAAGAATCTCGGAAACACTTGTTTCATGAATTCTGTCATTCAAGCGCTGAAGTGAGTAGAATATGAATCATACTTTAAGTAAAAAAATTTTTTAACTCTCTAAGTTTTACAGCACAACCGATATTTTTCGAGGGTATTTGGTTCAACTTCCCCTTTTGCAACCGGATGAGGACGAAAACGATGAACATCAACCATTGGCTAGCCCTAGATATAACACAAGACGAGCAGCTTCTGCTGTTAACACACCGACTTTGGGTACTTCCACTGCAACTCCTACGTGAGTGTTTCATTCGTTGTATGCTGTCTGAAAAATAATACTCAATATTAAAGTTAGAAGAAGTAGTAAATCGAAGAGAAAAACCAAAAGTTGTTCTAGGAGTAAAATTCGCTTTCCTTTTACTCATAATTTCTTTCTTTTTCCTAATTGCTTTTGGATTATTTCTGCTTGATAATTTCTTAGTTTACGCTGAGTGTTTCATGTTTATTTGACGTTATACTTGACCAACTGTCACGACGAAATTAAATTACACAGTACCATTTGTTGTAAGCATGCAGGTATATAAAATGTTCTACCAAGAACCAACCATAGGTAGGTTGGTCGTAGCACTTACTTAGCATGAATTGAGAACTGCGCGGAAATGGACGTATTCCGTGAATATTCCAGACTTTGGTATAAAGCTATTTAGCGTGCTGGCTGAAGAACTGCGTAAAGTCCTAATTCGGCTGGGTGACCTCGAAGGCGACCAGGCGGTTTCGCCAGATGAATTCTTCCAGTCAGTTTGGAAGGTGTCTCCGAGATTTAGGTGTGTGAAAAGTTACTACTGTAGAGATGTTTATTGAACATATTAGGAGTACCTTTTTATAACTTTAAGGGGATATCATCAACAAGATGCGCATGAGTTCCTACGTTGTACTATGGATCGTCTCCATTCCGAATTGAGAAGATGTCGACTCCCGGAGTCCGTTAGTCAGTGGCTAGCCGCAGCATGTGGAAACGAATCGCTGAATGGTTCAGCCGTTACCACTTTATTCGAAGGATTGTTGCAAAGTCAAGTTGTTTGCCTGACATGCCACACAGCTAGTAACAAGCATGATCCATTTCTAGGTATATCCTTTCCGAAATTTCGCATTTTATGGAGTCTCTAACTTAATTTCAACACTCTTTTTCAGACTTGTCATTGGATATATTCGTTCCCGCACCAAATGGTAGAGCAAGTAATGTGAGACTGTCGGAATGCATAAAGCGATTTTTCGCGAAAGAAGAATTGGATCATTGTGAACAATACATGTGCAGTAACTGTAAAGACAAACGTCCATCAACAAAACAGCTCTTCCTCAGAGTTTTGCCAAATGTGAGTGGTCATCAGAGTATCTAGAACGGACGACTTTTGTCTTTTTTTTTTTACTGTTTTTTGTTTTAGGTTCTGTGTCTTCATCTAAAACGCTTTCGATGGTCTCACATCAGCCGCGGAAAGCTCGATAATATGGTGGACTTTCCCCTGAGTGGTTTGGATATTACGCCGTTCATGGCACAGGTCGGTTGTGTTTCAATTGCTTTCTGGTTACGAGTGTATTTATTGTACAACAATTCTTTTACTAAAGTTTTGTTGAGTATATAAAACAAATAAGAAATAGAAGGTTATTAAAAGCCTATACATCCCTAAAAATGGGATTGCGGTCTAAGGTAAATATTTTTCAAAACTTGATGAAGATATTGTAGTGCGCAGCCTCGCGGGTTACCGATCAACCAGGAAACTTCACATTCGATTTATCTTCCGTCGTTGTGCACCATGGATCTGGGTATGCTTAGGGATTCGAGTTTTTGAGTTAGAGTCCACGATTAGTATTTCCTTTTATGCTTACATAGAAATAATTGTGCGTTCAACTTTAAACAAGCTCGGCTCATAATGGACTTTATTAATTAGATTACAATCTACGGGTTTTTGTCAAAGACACATCCAAGGTTTCTTGTTCTGAAAGAAGGGAATTCTGATCTTGTGACACACAGAAATCGATTACCTTTCTCGTTTCTTTTTAACCGTAGCTCGAATTTTAGGAACAGAAGCACTTGGGTAAATGGGAATTTACCATTCAGGACGGAGTGCTGTCTTCTAATGTATGCCTAATGTTAGCCATTCATGGGTTTATGTTACATAGTTTAAAGAATTTAGCGTAATGTTGGTTTACAAATTTCTTGGGAATTGTGGACTCAAACAATTTTAGAAGTGAAATAACTTTCCAGGAAAAACCTGTTGTTACGAAATCGTAATTGTCGTATCCATAGGGCAAAGTCTGCTTTATGAGCTTGTTAAGTTCTCATCTTTTGAAGTTCTATAGTATGAAGTATTATCACCAATTATCAAAAAACATGGATCTCACTCACCTATGGACACAGGTGGTATAATCTCGATGCTATATGGAGAATTCTCAAGTGGTGAATCGGATCATAATCGCTGACTTAAAGTCGCGCTGTACTTTTCTAGCAAGCAAGTGGATCCAAGAACGAACTCCCTACTGTCGCGCTGATTTGGCGCATGCGTTCTAAATTTATGTGGACGTGTTCTTGTGTGCTCCTATGGGTGTGTTGGCACATATGCAGGCTGTATTTTACTAGTTGAGTCGACCAAATGTCTGAGTTGCCTGGAAATACATGGAAAGTTTTTGGGAGTTGGCTTCTGTTAATACATTGCTCTGGAATAGGCTGAGAAGCTACCACTAAGAATATCCGGCCCCCACGCTAAGAGCTCGGTAACCTGCCTGTCGTTATCAATAACTATACACGGTGAAATGAAAGGGCTCGTTCCCCTAACCACGAAGAAGCTCTCAATGCAGCGACGTTGGGTAGAACGAGTCCGGAAAGCTGCTAAAATCTCAGGACCATTCTAGGTTACCTAGTTCTAGAGGAAATAACATAATGATCCGTACATAATGCTGAGATATTTGCAAAACTCCGGACCGCAGGTGCATGCGGTGGGGAACGAACGCGCTATTGAGTTTGAGTCTAACAGGTGAGTTTTTGTAAATAACTCTGATCATCGAGTCGATAGTCTCCTGCTATGCGTTTGACATCCCGATCAATCCAGTCACAGATGTTGTCCATCGGTTGTCGTTCATACTCGTTAAATATCCAGTTCACCTTATCTTCAACAGTTTGGCGTATAAAAGGGCGTCTTTGACCTTTGATTGTTGACGTAGCTCGGAGCTTTGGATCCCTTCCCTCACTGACGTGATACGGGATACTCCTAGCGTCGTCCTTTCGACTACACGTTCAACAACGCTGGGTGATTACTCATCCTGCTTACGTAGCGACCAAGTTCCTGATGCATACATTAAGACAGGAAGATTAGTGGAGACGAAAAGGTGGGCATGAGTCGGTTGTTTTTTGTTTTCTTCACTACATCCTTGATGCTTTTGAAAGCTCCCCAAGCCGCTCGCTTCCTCCAGCTCAACTCTGGAGCTAAGTCGTTCATCACGTTGATTTTCCGACCTAGATAGAAGTAACTGGAGCATTCGGAAATACTCATACCGTTGAGCGTGAGTGGGGAGTACGAAACCAATTCGTTTCTCATGAACACCGTTTTTCTGAATCAGTCGAAGACGAACCTTTCCACAGGCTTTATCAAAATCGGAAAGTATTTGTTCCGCATGGTTAATACTTGGTGTTATAAAGACGATGTCGTGAGCAAAGCGAAGACGATCAGTCTTCGTTCCTATGTTGTCTCATTCCAATGTTCTCATGACGTTTTCGATGGTGTTGGTAAACTATCTTGGCGAAATGGCATCGCATTGCGTAAGTCTTCTTTTGATGGCGATGTTAATATTGTTGTAGAATGATGATATTTTGGTTGTGATGCTTTCCTATAAGTCACGAGGAATCTTTGTATACTGACTAGGGACGCCCTGGCTGTCCTGGGCATCCATTGCTATACTGCTTATCTACTACCACTTATCTCTGCTTACCTCTACCGCTTCTATATCAGCTAACCTAAGCTTAAGCCGAGTCAAAAGCTTTTCTTAAATCATTGGAAGCGGGAGAGAGTGGTCTTTTACACTTTAGTGATACTTCAACGAGTTTTGTTATCATATGGATGTGGTCCATCATGTTGAATCCTTTTCAAAACCTTACTTGCTCCTGAGACTGTCTTTCATTGAGTGTTCTGCCAATCTTGTTTAGAATTACTCGAGTGAAGAGTTTGTAGACGACAGACAGCATATTGGGCAATAGTTGCCGATATCGTGAAGGTCACCTTTCTTGAACAGTAACCAGCCTTTTTGGTGTTCCATTGAATAGTAACCTTGCATTCTACATTCGATTTTGGTATAAAAATTTTTATTTGGCTAACGTTTCGGCGCCTTCGCCTTCCTCAGAGCCGCGTTGATCCGAGTCGATGGGGTCCACAACTGGTCGTTGTCACAAAGTGTATGTTCGTTGTCGCTGTCGCACCAATTCGAATCCAGTGGAGGGAACACTGCTGGAATGGTTAACCTCAGTCATCGGTCTCCTTTTAAACAATCATATAAGGATTTATTGATTGTTACTGAGGTCCAATGAAAATCGATTTCTAACGTATGTTGATGTTTGACCTCGAATGCAAAATTATGTGTTAGAAGTATCATCTTTAATCTAGATTCATTGGTTTGAGTACCATAATGGATTGTATTTCTTTATTTAAATAATGGGGTGCGTGTAGTGCAGTGGTTAAAGGTGCTGTGCAGTACACACGGGTTTGAGCTTTCACCCTACGCAGCATTTACTTGATACATCGGTAGGCTACCACGGGTCAGTCTGAAGACTAGACATGCGTTCAGTCACCTCTAGCAATCTTCGATGAAGTCAAATACATGGAGCATCCCTCAGAGATTAATCAATGCCAACATCATCCTTTCTTTAAAATTTAATGATGGTTATGTCCATTGAGTAAACTTATAACTTTAAATTTTTTAGGGAAAGGTAGTCTAGATTCAGTGCAAGTTTAGGTATATACATATATATGACATGATTTTAGAGTAACTTCTGGACACTATACAACATATGGGCAACGAGATGGTCTTTGGTACCACTTCAATGACGCCACGGTGAAAGCATGCTCTGAACAGACGGTGCTTAAGCAGAAAGCCTATCTCTTATTCTACACTCGCTCAACACGTTTTAGGTTATAGCTGGGATGTTGTTGGGTGCTTTTTTCCATTAAAAAAGTAGTTGGCATTAAGTAGTTGTAACAACAGCTAAGCCTAGGATCCTGTGATGACGTGATTTGGTGGATATGTTACGTTATTAGTTTCACCCTATTTACAAGTGAGGATGTTTCTGTTTTTTCTAAAGAACGGCTATTTATTGTCATATCTTTGGGATTGTTTGATGTTAGCATTATTACTGCGCGGGTGTAGCTAAGATGTGCACGTTTTATGCAATAGACGGTCTCAAATGTTAATCATTTTTATCTACTTTGTATCTCTACGCTCTTCATATTTACTTTATGCACTATAGCTTGTATATTCCATGTTTTTATGTTGCAGACAGGTAGTGTGTGATTTGTTCTCCTTTTTGTTTTACCTCGTACAATCTAGGTTTTCCCATGTAGGCGGCGATGATGTACTAAGTGTGATTTATTTGTTTACCGTGACACTGGTGTTGTCCACTTCAAAGCCATTTTTTTCCAATGTTTTCGAGTTAATGATCAAAAATTAATACCACGTAATCCTCTCCATTTCATCACGATTACTTACAACACATACTTTTGGTGGTTTAGACTGTTTTGGTCTAGCAAAGTAACTGAGTCAGAGGAAACTCCGATGGAAAGGTTCAGCATATTACCTCAACCGGTGCTACTACTTATACTTTAGTTGTTTCCATCAAAATTGTTTTTGTTTGTTTTTCATGATATTCTGTCGTTTCCTGGTAGCTGCTGACTTTTTTTATTCGGCAGTTGTTCTACAACGTGGCGTCGCCAATCTACTGATATTAGGCGCAATCAAGTTTTGAAGTCAGGCGAAATATGCCTGTGCTACCCATGTTTATCTTTTACTCTAAAACGGCTACATGTTTTTGAACAAGTTCTTTCCTTTAGTTCCTTCATTCTTCACAATTGATGCACGTTTGACTGATTATAAGTTTGTGCATTGTGTCTTTCACTGATGTGTTCATCTGTCATGCTGATTCATTGGTCTGTAACCCATACGGTTTAAGGTTTAGATGTCGAGATTCATTATTCTCTTCAGTCAGCGACAATTTCTGTTAAAGGCTCCGTATGTACGACTTCCTTACGTCGATTTCTTTCTCTCTAAATATTAAATGAATAAATCAGAGATGTAAGAACTCAGCTGCAAGTTTTGGAAAAATGGAATTGTTTTGTTTCGTGAGTTTAATAGTTACATACTTATGTCTGCTGAGTTGTAACAAAATATCTTCTAAAATGCAGGTCGAATTGCAAAAGAATGTGCGAATTTTGAGAGAAACATGGTCAGTGCGACGTTGTCACTAAGAATAGTGGGTTTGTGATTATGTGTTAGCCGTCTGAAGTTTAGGCTATCATAACACTTTATTTCTTTTCGAACTTTTCTACTTGTTAAGATAGGCTTAACTTGTTAGTTTGTCCTGAATCTGATACTCAGAAGTCTCACTGGAGTTGTTGGTCTCGAATCGTCGAGTCTCAAATCTCGACATCTGGACGTGTGCTTATTGCACTTGCAGGCCATTCCGACTCTGTGTAAAGTTCGACTAAGCGAATCCCTAACAAAAACCATTATGGATAGTTTCGTCAATGGTGTAAAATCAATGCGAATAGCACTGACCGTTGCCCGTTTGCGGTTTTCTGCATAATCGATGTTTTTTAAGTACATTTCCTAAGCGCTGCCGGCGTTTCCCGATAGCAGTCATTTGTCTTTCCGGAACATCATTATGTGGGTGAGCGGATAGCGGGGTGGGTGAGTGAATAAATATGCAAAATTGGCTGAGTTCGTCCATGTCGACGTTATCGATCCGCAAAAGGCTACCCCGAAGCGGTTTCGGTATCGGTTCGGGATGCAGTTGTCGTCGCGCGCGACGTCGGCGACCACCGCTCGCGACGGCTCCCTCGGTCCTCCACACCCTCGCCGGACGTCATCGCCAAGGCGGCGTCCGCTTCACTGCGCCTTTCCTTCTCTATGTTGTTAAAATTTGGCGCTTGTCGTGATGAATGTTCTCGAATTCTTCTCTGGCTGTCGATTCTTTGATGTTCGTAATATTGTTCTGTACATATGTATGACATAAATGTGTTCCGTCTTGTTAATTTCCTTGAATCTATTATTTTCTATGATTCACTGTATTTCTACTAGTGTACTTCGAGACTTTAGTTAATCTGGGAGGTGGGGGACGGGGAGGGGAGGGGTAAAACTATGCAAATCACCCAGAAGGAATCACCCTTCTTGGATTGTTAGGCTAACACTAGGTGGACAAAGATGTTTATCCGGCTAACGTTTCGACGTCTCCATCTTCATCTTTATCATAGTCAATGATCCGAGTCGATGGTTCACAGTCGTTCGTCTTCTCGATGTCGCGTCTTCATCGTCGTACCGGTACGGATCTTCTTCGATGGAGCACAGCTCGATTGAGGCAACCTCATCCGAAAGCGCAAAATGGGTTCTGTCGTTGGGAGAAAATTAATTTCTGTATACTTAATACTACATTTCAGTATTTATAGAAAGCAAGGAATACTACAGCTTTCCAGTGGTGTACGCCTCACCATGGCTAGAGGATGATATTCCTGACTTCCGTTTTGATATGCGGGTATGAGTTCTTCCTCATGTTAAGGCCTCTCAAGCTGACGTATTCAATACTCCATTCCGGAACTCCAGCTAGAAGTAGACCTATGTTACGGCACAGCTCGCTGCCTCCCAAGCTGGAGAGTTCGGTATTCTATCCAGGAGTTACAATTAGACGTTTAGCTATATCGCGGCAGAGCTCGCAGAGCTTCTCATCTCACTAAGTACATTGAGGTGAAGGCCTCGACACCAAATATCTAAGGTTTTCGTATCACTCAGCCTATTGGATCCTCCAGAAATTCCTAATAGAGAGGATGGAGACAGATACAGAGAGGATTGGTAGTAGACCAGGTTAGGCGATAAGTAGTAGGGTTACATGTACTATAGGTGATATATTCCAGTAATAGAAACCATAAAACTCTACCAAAATTCTTTCCTAATGTTTTGTTTTTGTTTTCTGCAAGCAGAACATCTGCCTTTCGGGAACGCGATATTTCGAAAATTAAGACGGGCTCAGAGGTACATCTAAGCAAACACTATTAGTAGCAATAGCATACTCGAGAACAAGTGTTACTTGGAAACCCTAATGAGCAGCAGTAAGGATTACATTCGTCTCTATGTACGCAAAATTAACTGTTGGATTGGGACACTCGTTTCCTCCATCCGAACCCGTTGGGAGCTTACCCTTCCCGTATAGGTCGTTTTATATCCAAGAACATTCTCATTCAAAACGACCACTAAGCAGACCATTAAAGGCTATCTTTACAACTACAGCTTACGAAAGAACTAGAAACTATCTCGTGTTCACAGCACTGTTCTTGCAGAATAAGCTTTACTTTTTGATAGTCATTTCTATCATAACTGTCTTCATCGTTACCAATGCTGAAAATGTGAGTCTAATAAGTAGGTCTTTCTTTGCAAGTTGCACTAAGAGAGGACTGACTTTCTTGCTGTTTGAATATAAAATTGGTTTTTTCTGAACGTATGGACAGGTTTTTCTGCCAAATGTATGGATCTGTTAGCTTTTTCTTACTCACTGAACAATCTAAGCCATAACTTTGAAGCACATAACATCTCAGAATTCGATAACTTGAGAACGGTGGAGTGCTAACCGACCAAATGATCTAATGTTTGATGCCTGTGAAAAATGTCTCTAGGAATACTTCACTATGATATCAATTTAATTAATTCTGGCAAGTTTGCAACTTTTTAATTAACGTATGCAACGTTCCCGCTAATGGCTGGGAACGTTCTTTTGCAATCAAAGTTTACAACGATCTCGCCTATCGCCTTTACGAAACTGGGACCCAGGTGTTGTTAGCACGTCATATTTAAGCTTCTTCAGTGAGAACAAGAAATGTTGGAGTAGGAAACATTTCTCAGGAAGAGAGCGAAGAGCTCTCAATGACAGCTCAGAGCTCTTTTTTATGACGAAAGAACACCTGATGATGACTGTGTCGGCATTTGTACAGTGTTGAAGCACATATTGTCGTTAAAAACATCCTATGAATGGTTTACTGCTTCTAGATGGTGAGAGGTTTTTTGTCAGATGCCGAACTGTGATGTACATCGTCAAATGATGAAGGAGGGAATGTGTAGGGTTCAGCGTTGATCAATCCCCTAAGAATGCGGCATGCATTCGACTTCGTTAAGAATCCTGATGATAACTGCACACGTGTTCAGCCTCTAATATGGCTTACCTGTCGGACCTACTGATCCGCCCAGTAAGCGTTTTTTATGCTTCTAAACAGTTTACCATCTCCGGAGGGAATCTTTAGTCATTGGAATGTATCGCAACGTGCCTCTAACCACTGCGCTACCTCAATTCAAAGAATTGGAAAATTCAACCTTCGATGGACGTATTCAGTAAAGCGAACCAAGCAGTTTATCATCTTAATCCTGTATATTCATGAATCAATTGTACCTATTCGTAGTTGCATTATCCTCAACGAGCACGTTTTAAATAATTTTCGCAAGAAAAGAGAATGTTCTTCCTATACGCATATTTACTCAAACATGAATGAATCTAGGAATGATAGATATAAGAGGGGATAGTAATGACTATAGCTTACGGAACGATTAATGGAGAATGCATCGAATCAGTGCTACTATCCTAGCAGACAGGTCTGCTACCAACTGGCTCACCCGGAGGATGGAAGGCTTGGAGAGTCTTGGCGCGAGATTGAATTTATGTGTATTGCAAGGCACCTCTAACCACTCTGCGCTACATCTGCTCTTTTTGGACGCTGGGTGCTTCAACATAATTACGGTCACGAAGTTGAAGGAAAATTCGACGTTTACGAGGAAATCAATTAAAAGGATAATATCTTTGTCTTTGTTAATTGGTGCTTCAGTTATGAGCTGAATTGGATTTCATCGCAAAGACGATAAAATGAAATAAAATAAGGTAAGGATAAAGCTCTTCGCATTGATCAACCCATGGGGGATGCGCCATGCACTCGACTTTATTAAGCATTGTTTGTAGTGATTGAATGCATATTTGGCCTTTACAATGGCTCGTAGTGGCCTATTGATGTATCGAGCCACTGCCGCTATCCTCCCAGACAGGTCTGGTACCAATTTGCTGACCCCGAAGGGATAGAAGGCTTGGTGGGCCGTGGGCACGGAGATCGCTCCCTTGTGCGTGTTGCAGGGCGCCTCCAGCCCCTGCGCCACACGCATCCCCGCCACGCAAACGCGCGTAAAATATATAGTTGACCCATATGATACGTTTTCGGAGGTCTGTAAAAATTTTAGGTGGATGTTTTTCTCCCCACAAACAAGTCTGGTCCCAATTTACTAACCGCACACGGATGGATGGATTGGTTTACGCTAGCGCTGAGTGAAACTACCTTAACGATTACGTTTCTGTTGAAGGATACCTCGAACTACTGCGCTAAACGTACTCCTGAACATCTTCGATATCGGTTATATTTTAAAAAAAAGTTACGGTGCGTTGAATAGTCCCCATATAAAATAAGGAATGTACCATTGTCTCCACATAGGAGGGTAAACGTCGATGTTATGGTGCTCTTGATGATTCTTGATGGTGAATGATGAATGCAAATGGAAAGGTTGAAGTGGCAGAGAATTACGGCCATGCCAAGGCTTATGTGGATATGGTCAGATTAAATGGCTTCATGCAAATCGTTTGTATAAAGAACCATTGTATACTGATATGTTACGGCACGTTGTTGCTGGAACAAAAACGTTAGTGCCTATAAATTATGTAAATACATAGATGAGATATCCTCACGTGATGTGAGGGCCTCAATGCATTTTTCGTCCCTTTCATTATCCTCTATTGCTGTTGATGAGATCGTGTGTAGGCCTGGCTGCGGTTCAAGGACTTGTAGTCGTTTCTCATTGGGATATTCAATAGTATTTGAGCATGTAGCCGTTTCTAGGGTCCATGGAATTTTGAGTTAGCCGTGTGGGGATATTCGCAGATCTTCGGCTCTGATAACTGCCACGACTTGTGGTTCGGATGGAGGTTTACAGCATTGCGACAAGGATTTTTCAAGGACGGTAGTGATTCCCGTATTAATTTGATTAACTAGTCATGAAACTCATCTCTACAGATCATACTATGAAAACGTGGAGAGACTACATTTGAATCACTTTATCATTGAAATTATCGAATCACCTTGTTGGAAAGCACAACCAGCCCCACGGTGTAAGACATGAAGTCCATGACATAGATAAGGACCGTTCTACTTGCTATACAAATACTAACATACGAGAATGGCATGTTTCTATTAGACGATGAAAAGAATACATGGTCCTTGAGGATAAGGTGTGCAATTTGTAATTGTTCCTCATGTTTTGATAAATCATTTTCGCTAAGACTGTATTATTGTAATAAGATTGTGTTATACGTAACGCCGTGTATTAGTAATAAAAGTGTATCGCCTTTAGCATTAAATTATGTTAAGGAAATGATGCGAAGCGCGGAAAGTGCAAAGTCAGAGAAGTGGAAGAGGCAAACGGTCCCTAGTACAATCTCACCTACGGCAAACCAAGTTGCTCCTTCCTAGAACGTTGGCATATTGGTACCAAATTTGTTCACGAAAAGCTCTATCCAATCAACAAAACCAGGAAACTACCTATCGTAAAGACCTGGGAAAGCTCTAGCCGAGCTAACTTAGCGCTCCAGGGAGAATCAGCTCGACCAGCATTAATTGACATTTATGAAGAAGATGAAGTCTACTAGTAACACACACGCAAACATCCGAAGACCATTGTGGATCATGCATTCGAGAGAACGAATTAAATGGCGGAGGTGCTGGGACCCGTACAGTGCATGAGGTCGGGCCATACAAATAGGTAAACTAATAAATAAGTAAAATCAGATCGTATTGTCGTAGTATTATATCACTATGAAGATTTTTTATTGGAAGAAAGGCTATGCGGTACTTTGTATTCCGAAAAATGTGCGGAATTGAACCGTCCCTGTCAACAGCCCAAATGCAGCATATTTCAACACATGCTTTAAAGACGATATATGGTAATATCTTCAAATTTTTCATAAAATAGGGTCTCGTGTAGCGCAGTGCTTAGAGGTGTCCTGCAATGCACAAAAATCCGATCTCGCGCCCCAGGCTCACTAAGTCTTCCATTACTCGGGGTTGGCAAATTGGTAACAGACCAGTTTAGAGGATAGCAACACTGACTCAATACATCAGCTAGCCACTGCGAGTCATTGTGTAGACCAGCAATCACCTCCAGCGATGCTAAATGAAGTCGAATGCATGATTGATTAACACCAAGAGCTTTATCCTTTTTACTCTTTTCATGCAATTGACTCTATAAGGTATAGATTTAATCACAAATATAGCGTAATATCTTGTAATAGAACGAATCACACTCTCACCTTCAAGAAGATCGTAAAACTGTGTTGGAAATACAATGTCTATATAATTGCGAACAGTAGTGTGGACCTTCTAATCTCAGGAAGTATTCGATGTGATCAAGGTTCCCGAAACAACACGTTCTCAAGCTCGCACCTCAAAGAAGCAACGATATTTGATACTTACTTGGTACTTGAACGGCTCGTCCTCACTGGTTGTGCGAGCCCCAGCATAGTAACCATTTCTCGGAGATTTGCTGTTTAAGCCACTGTGTCTCTGGAATCCCGAGGTCAGCCTGGCCAAAGCCTGCCTTAGATCTTCACCACCACAGGCAGTGGCAGCTCTTGTGGATCAGAGGGAGATTTGCCACCATGCGACTTTGATGCCAGGACGGTGGTGGACCCTGGTATTGGTTTACTCTTAGCTGGGCTTGCTGATGGAAACGCCGGACTACTCAGTTTGGGAGACTCTGCTGGGCGGAAGAATCTTCCCGCTGTACATCGCAGTCCGACACCCAGGAACACCTCCCAGCCACGATGAGGCGGTAAACTGTTGGGTGGATCAGCAATACAATTCGGTAAAAATTCATAGTAAAAGAAAAAGGACGAAGCTTTCGGCGCCCAGTTTTACCAAGCAATTTGAAATCGTCATCCTGTATATTGGTGGACAAACTGTTTGTATTCGTAGTTGCATTATCCTCAACTAGTATGTGTTAAATAAGTTTCACATAGGAGAGATGAGATGCTTACTAAAGGCATATTTAGTCTGACATGAATAAATCTCGAAGTGGTAGACATAAGAGGAGCTGGTAGTGACTGCAGCTTATGAAAGGACCAATGGATCGTAGAAGGCATTTTTTATCGGGACAATTTGTAAAATGATAAAGCGTAAAGCTTTCGGCTTTCGTCAATCCCTGGGGTATGAGCTATGCATTCCACTTCATCAAGCATTGTTAGACATAACTTAATGCAAATCTGACTTATACATTAGCTTTCGGTGGCTTATCAATGTATCAAGTCAGTACTTCGAGACAAGTTTGGTACCAATTTGCCGACCCTGAAGGAATGGAAGGCTTGGTGAGCAGGGGTGCGTGGTCAAGCCAAGGTTCATATGTTGACGCAGGGCAGCTCCGACCACTGCACTACATGTGCGCCAAGAATCCATGAAACGCTATGAAAATGAACAGCACAGCGAATACCTAAATGTTTCAAGTAACCTTGAAAGAGATCATCACTAGTCCAAAAGTGTTGATTAGTTCTTCACGAACGTACATTTAGAGCATGTACAGTGCGAAGTCGAAATCTCAGCCCAAGATTTCACTGACACCGAACAGATTATTTCCTTAAATAGTATCTGCAAGTAAAGTTTATATTTGAAGTGGAACCAAGGCAAAAAACCCACAGAAATCGTGGACATGGTCATCTTATTGTTTACGAATAGTTTGACGACTTAATGCATATGTACATCCGATTAGGAGGGAATTGACAAGTTCGTCTCTAATCCGAAACTGCATCGCATTTGCAATAATATTCTTGATTTATTAAATCATTGTTAGGGTACCATTCACCAAAGGATCGGTATTAGCCAAGGGTCTCGAATACGGTCACTTCGGTCCGTAAAGGAACACCGTATCCACCAAACTGTTCATCAGAGACCATGTCCTATACGCAATCTAGAAAATGTGGTTGTTTACTTTAACTTAATACTTCCTAAGATGCCTTATTTCATTAGTAGGCTAATACGAGGTTCTTGCTTCCTAAGATGTTTTGCGGTTGAAAGTTGCGATTATTTCTGAGAATTTTGGCCCTGCGAAGTTTTTCAAATGAAATTCCGTCCACATCTTCCAGTTTTTGTTCTTTCATTCTTACTTTCACTCACGTTGAATGTCCTTATTGCTCGAAGAAGTAACGATGGATGTCAAGTAATTCCTTGCAGGTAATGGAAAACACGGGATAGAATGACTTTCAAATGGCCATGGCAATATGATTTTCCGCCGTTTTTCACGTAAGTGATTAATATCGTTATTTGATGAAATTAGACTTGACATGTGCTTATGAGCGATGAATCTACGTGTCTGCAGAAGGTTATGTTCATGAAGGAAAAACTCGATGTACTTCTAGAACATTCTAGAACTTCGAGAACACGAGGGAAGGTTTTTAATTGTGTTTGGCGAATGAATGTCGAACGTGACGCACTATTCGTTTGTTCATCGGAAAAGCAGTTATATGACAAGATAGGTCCATGATTTTTCACTAACAAAGTATGCTTTACGAAGTATGGGGAAACGAAGAACCATCGATTCGGATTGTCGACTCTGGTGAAAACGAGGAGGTCGAAACGTTAGCCCCGAATAAACATTATCAACCTTGGGTAAGCTCAACAATTTAAACAAATGTTCATTTGTCATACAGCGGTTAAAGGAAAGTAGGTACTTGAAATAGTATTGGAAAAGTTCTGGTTCCTTTGAAACACGTCGTGCTTCAAATCAACCTGTTTTGTTTATTCTCACTTACTTATTTGGATAGATGGATGGCCATCCTCACTGGTTGCGCGGAGGCCAGGATGATCTCCATTCTCTCGGATTCGTGCTGGTTTAGCCATTGTGGCTTCCAGGAGTCCCTTGGTAAGTATAGCTAAAGTCTGCTACAGGTCGTCACCACCGCAGGCAATCGCCACCCTTGTTGAACAAAGAGAGATTTGCCAACATGCGACTAGTTTGATACCAGGAGGGTGGTGGATCCTGGGATTGGTTTACTCTTAGCTGTGCTTGCTGATGGAAACGTCGGTCTGCTTCTCAGCTCCGAAAACTATGCTGAAGGTGTCTCTTCCAGTTGTACACGCAGCCCAACACCCAGGAACACCTCCTAGCCATGATGAGGCGGTAAACCGTTGGGAGGTTCTCTTTATTCACCTTCGGCACTTTCTGCCCAAGCTCTATCGCTACTACGCTCTTTTTCGTTGATTTTTTTAAGTGATTGTATAGAAATGCTCAAACAGATTTGTTTCCAGGCTTCAACAAACTCTAGTTACGAGAGAAAAACAATTAGAAACGTGGGCTAGCCTAGTAATCGACTATACACAACATAACAAGATCTACACACTTGACGTTGCTGAAGTGGCGAACAGTGAACTTTTTTATAACCAAAAATTAAATAGTAAGTGCCGCTACTCTTTATTTTTGTAAGTTCTTATCATGCCGGTTATACAATAACCAATAGCAGTATTCTTTTTTCTGTGAAGAATTCCTTCATATTACTTAACAAGAATGGTTTTGGTATCTTATCGATACCTTGTAATCACCCATTAAGTTATTTTTCTTAAGGGCGCCTTTCTCCCGAAGGAATTCGTGCTGTGTTCGAATACCTTGAGCAAAAAAGTTCGTTTTATTTTTCGTCTTTACTTTTTATACCAAAACAAAGACCTGATAGAGGAAGAAATGTCTTTATTTGTATGTGTCTATCACCGTTTCAGAACACATCGAGTGGTTGGATATTGGGAAAACTCGGTGTCATATCTACTGGCGACGTCCGGACGAGTGGGCTGCGTTAATCTACACCTGGGCTGTGTCGAACGGTTTATTAAACACTCCTTGTACATTGTACGAAATTGCTCACGGTGACGATACGGCGCGAGAGTGTACGTTCATTAGGTATTAGACCCTATTAGGCTTTCGATAGTAATGTAGATTCTCCGAGTTACTAGTTTTGATCTGTTAAATGATTTAATATTATGACGAAGAACTCAGTGACGTTACTAATCGATGAAAAAAAAGATAAAGCTATCGATATCGAACAACTCATGAGGGAAGCGCCATGCATTCGACTTCATCAAACATCGTTTAAGGTGACTAAATGGATATCTGTCCTTTACAATGACTCGCGATGAACTACCCATGAACCGAGCCAGTGTAACTATCCTCCCAGACAAGTCTCGTGCCAATTTGCCGACATCGGAGAGATGGAAGGCTTGTTGGGCCAGGGGCGCGGCGATCGATCCCATGTGTGTGTTGCAGGGCACCTCCGACCTCTGCGCCTCACGTGCCCTTCCAATCAACAATACACAGTTTTCTTTTTTGCTCGGTCTAAATATTTCGTCAAAAATTAGCCTTAAGTTCATCTTATTTCATTTCTCGAAGAGACTATTCTATGATTTCAGCGTTTTACGGTCTCGAGAAAGACGTATTACTGAAGGCACTTCGTAGTCTGGAACTGCAGCGACGTGCGCAATTGATGAATATCGGCACAGAATCGGAGGGTGTGAAATTCTTGCAGTAATAGCGGATTTCGTTTGGTATGTGTTAGCATAATCGTGTCGGTCGTTTTCCGTTGACAGTGAGTTGCTGATGACGCCGTTAGGTAGAAAACCGGCTGAGAAAAAACAAAGCAAGGGCGTCAGTGGTGCAGTATGTAACACGTGAGCACCCAGAAAGGACAATCGAATGTTCGATCCGGCCTGGGGTCCAAGTTTTACAAATATGTCAGCATAACTGCGGTTATAGTTCCTGGTTTTTATTGCGTTTTTTTCTTAGCTAATTAGTATTCACGATACTCTAAAAAGTGTATAAACGCTTTCGTAATAATTCTAAATGTAACAAAATTAGTTTGTGGATTGCCTCTCAGGTAGTTTGGATAACTGTAACGGACAATGCTAGTGTCTTCGAGATTTATGTTCTGTCTTTGAGACGATAATATCCCGTTTGAAGAATGTCAATGTGGGCGTTCTTGTGTTACATTCCTTGCTTCTATACGTTTATGTTGTCTTCTTGATTTTGATAAAATATTTACATCATTACAAGTTGATGTATTACTTGTTTTATTGGTTATTTGAAGTCAAGCATCTTCTCGTTGTTTGTGTTTCTTCCTTTTTTTTGGATTGTATGAAACTTCGCCGAATATTCGGACTTTAGGTTTTATTCATTGCCATAAACTATTGTGCAAGTAGTTGTATTTACATATGGTTGATACTATTGCTCAATCTAACAAGTCCGGAAGTTTGGAAAGCTCTACCTCTGTTCCAGGTATTTCATATAATCTCTCCTATTTATCGTTTGCTTGAATTTGTTAGTAGGGTTATTGCAGGGGTAAGGATCTATCATAATTAATTTAAGTTGTAGTGGTTGGTGGTTAATGTTACCCACTACCTCGAAATTTCTATTCGAAGGTTCCTTGTGTTTGAAAAGTTCGAGGTTTTTATCACCATTTCCGTAATTATGCTGTAGGAATGCCTTCATTTTAATAACAAATGTCTTTTACATAGCGATATGAATAGATGAGAAGATACTATCTATCTTAAGGTGATTATTTAACATGTAGAATCAGTAGAACGTACTAAAGGATCTAATAGAAGTGTTTATTTTCATTATATTTTAGATGCTCCCTCTTTTCTCAAATACTCAGAGCTTATTGAGGAAGGCGACACCGTTATTATCTACGTGACTTTCGACTCTACTCATGCGATCATAGCGCGTCGAGGCATGGCACTCTGTATGAAATACGGTGCATTGCGACATGAGTTCGTCATAGGGAAGCCGTGAGTAAACAAGTACCATCCTAATAGCTATGTGATTTCTTGGTTCGCTGAGTTAGTTCTATGTTGTTCAGAATGTCACGGATGACTGAAGTAGGTAGAAAATTCCTATTAAACATTTTTTTGAGAGGATAGTTTATTTCTCGTTAGAATCGTCGAGTAATGACGAACTGGCTTCCCCACCTCACTTTCGAAGATGTTGTTAGTAGATGTAGGTAGGGCTACAGAACACAGTGGCCCTTCCTTTCCTACCTAAAGAATTCAAATGTTCGGTACTGTGTGTTTAAAGCAGTTCCCTGGTTACTAACACTTGTTCTTTGCACAATGTTTTGTTGTCATAAGCAGGACTATTAAATGCTTCTTTTGAAGAAATGGTGCTACAATCAAGAATTGAGCGCAGTTTTAATGTCGGACAAAATAACTACATACCATCTGGACTGTTTTTCTTTTCAAATGTATTTTCTTTCCACAAGTCGCATCAAATTTAAGGTTGCAGCTTTGTAGTGGGCCAAGGGTGTGAATCATTTGACTACACAACGGTTTGATGTAGAAATTCTCACGGCGATGCTCATGTTGTCTACATATTGGTAAATGTATAAAGTCTTCCCAGTCGATGGACTTGCTCCAATAAATAACTGGCGGGTCATTTTTTTTTTAAGCGGTCCATCTTCACTTCAATCGTGCGGATCCCAATACTTCTTGCATTCGATTCGTTTCCTCACATCCATAGTCCACTAAGGTCTTCCAATTTTTTAAGTGTGGCTTCGATTGCTGCTTCAGGATTTTCCTTTCGTCATGAATGTCGTTGAATTCTGATCGAGTTGATTGTACTTGAAGTTCTGAGATAGCCGGATTAGAGCGTTCCCACTTGTATTGCAAAGAATGAACTTTCCCAGACGAATCCGGTGCCAATTTCCCGATTCAGGAGGGAAGAGAGGCTTGGTGAACGCGGAGCTGAGTCGTATCAGCACCGTGTTCGCGATTATTGCCATCACAATCATTGTGCTACCCCACTTTCCAATTAGTTGGTTATTGGAGTTAAAATTTTTCTCCTGTGGACTACAACAGTTGGAAAGGGTCACAAACAATGGTATCAACAACGTTGTTGTCTACGCTCTCTTGCATATTCTTCTATTGGTGTCGAACAGAAATCAGTCACATTAGTTTTGTCGGGAAGTTTTTTTACTTCCTGAGTTTTCAGTAGACCTCTGTATTCTCTGTGTAATGTCTTCATAACGTGGTTATTTCATTCTACCAAGTGTTTTCAGTACATGCCTACCAATAAGTGAGAAAGACACCAATGCATGGTGAGAACGTGCTGAACGGTTCTATTTCCTGTAGTGGCTATTAGAAAAATCCTTGTATGAAATCTGGTTCGTTCCTAATTCTTTTCATGGGTATAACGAATGTGCTTCACCTTCTCGATTAAGTGGGGGAATTTTGAACCAATTAAAGGATTTCCTCGTAAGAATAAGTGACTTGAGTTTATCCCTTGAAAGCATGTCATCCCAAATGGTTACTAGTCAAGGTTAATTGGAAAAAGCACTGTTAGGAGAGTATATTAAGGTGTTAAAAGGATGAATTAGATGATGGTTCAGAACTGAGCCACTCAAGAAGGTTAACGGTGAAATCTGTAATCATAACTTCCTTTAATATCAACATGAAATAATAGAAATAGTAATCAGCATAACAGAATAAGGTTGGAGTGTTTACCATATTTATTCCAAAACGCCTATCAATTTTATCGAAACATATTTTCCTTGGCATTTAAGTAGGGTACAGTAGTTTTCACTGAACTAGGTATGTGATTCCCAAAAGAAAATTGTTGACCGCGATCAAAATTCCGAGTACTAGTAGTGTAGCGTAGTGTATCACTTTGCTTTCAGTGGGATTGCAATCTTGGTTTAATGTTTTGTTTTGTTTTGTTTTAGCAGGGAAGTGTTTGACCGTGTAGATTGCAGTCTACCTGACCTTCCCAGACTCTGAAGAAGGCGAAATCGGCCGAAATGACAGCATTACCGTCAGTAACTAATATAGTATTCGAACTGCCAATGTTAGTATAACAATATTTGTTGTTAAACTCAGCTGAGCGTTATCTTGTATCTCATGCCAGAAATGCACGGACTTTGCTTTGCGCAGATATTTCTTTAAAGGTTATTTTTCCTTCACTTATTCTTAACAGACTTTTTTTGTGAGAACGACGAAATTAGATTGTGCTAAAGTTGTTACCAGGTAAACTTCTAGTGATTTTCATTCTTTATAACAAAACGAAGTCACAAATACAGCCAGCACAAAGTTCTATTGATTTCGTTGCGTTTTCTCCAGTTATTTAAAGCATTAAATCCGAAGATTGATGGGTGATCACTGATGGCCTGATCAATAGAACTAGTTGAGAGACAGCCGAAACGAAGGACTCGCATGGTATGATGGTGAACGCGTTGCTCCCCGGAAAGGACAATAGCGCGTTCGTTCCCCACCGCAAACACCTGAGGTCCGGAGTTTTGCAAATATCTCAGCATGATTGTGGTTCAGTCACACATATTAACCTGCCGTGAAAAATTGTAATTAGCAGTTAAAAAAAGTTAGCAATCTGAAGATTCGTTTGAACACATCTGTCAAGGTGTGGGAGAAACCTCCAAGTTTTTTTTTTTCCAAATATTCCTTCAGCAATAGTGTGCAAAGACTGTGTTCAATATGACTGAAATTTTGGTTCAGCATTTTCTCTGTTTGGTTATGGAGGTGCTTGGCCGTGTAGATTGCAATCAACTTGACCTTTCCAGATTCTAAGGAAGGCGAAATCCGCCGAAACGTTAGCTTGTACGTAAATAAAGAAATAAAACTAGAAAGAACTATTCTTTCACTAGCCTAAGAACGTAATCTAGCCGTTTTATACTCGTTGTTTACCACTTTTAATACGGGCGGATGTTTAGATCGCTTCTATATATGGACAAGGTTCGATGTTCATGATAATTGTTCTTTATTGACTTAGGACTTGGATTCTGTAGTTCTTTTACAGATATTAATAAAAAAAAAAGAGTAAACAGTTCTACTTTAAGTAACCTATTCCAGATGGGGTTCGCGTATTTCCGCAACTGCTGGTTACGTGTACGCGTTACGCCCTTCAGCCGAGCTATGGACAAGATCTTTGTCACGTCGCACGCAAATCCTTTACACACCTGACTGCAGCCTTATCCTGCAACTCTTGGATGCCAGACCGGGATCTGTGAGTTTTGACTTCCTGTTGTCGTTTTCACTATAGTTTTATTTTCTTGTTCGACACATAACGAAATGCGCTGCATAGTATTATAAGATGAAGATATTTTAATATAAAAACATTTCAGCGTTTTCCAAATATGTCAGGAATAATAGCACTATTGCTTTACTGTTTTGATGCTTTTTCCAAATTCTGCGAAGAGTTATGTTAGAAGGCTTAGGTTATTTGCGAATCTGGTACTGGAAGTGGGAGTTTAAGTCATGCAATTGCTCTTGCTGTTGCTCCAACGGGACACTTGTATACTCATGATATTGAAGAAAGTCGTACGAAGAAAGTCGAACAGGAATTTAAGGTATGGATTATTGTTTTATTATTTCATATTCACCATTTCCTTCTTGCTACCAGTTTAACGAATTCTGATATGGTTTACGGACATTGTGAAGTTCATCGTTAATCTGAATCTAGTGATCCATTAGCAACGCTTCAAGGAATTAGTAAAACAGGTTTCTTCCCAATTTGTATTTATGTTATGTACAAGGTGATACTGGAGCTGTTTAAATACAGCTGTTTGATTAGTTCCCGAGATTGACTTTCTATTAACCTCGGCATTTGAATATGAATGCGTCGTTTTCTTGTTCAGCAATGGCGAGGTTGTTATACGGCGTACGTTTGCTTCCATAGAGAAACACAATACATTACAACAGTGGCTGAGGTTTCGGCAGTATCGCTTTCTTCAGAGCCGCTTTTTTCACCTGTCTTCCACCGAGGAGGAACTGTTGTGTTCAGTTTTTGAAAGATGAAAAAAGCGAATCTGAAGAAGGCGATACTGCCGAAACGTCAGCTATTGTTGTATTGTATTGTGTTTTTCTATGGAAGTAAATGTATGCTGTATAACAACTTCGCGATTGCTGAACAAGAAAACGACACATTCATGTTTGATTAGTTCTTAAAACTTCATCCCACTAAGGATTGATGTTCAGGTGTGATATTAGAGTTGTCATGTTGGAATTCCCATTAAGTTTAGAGAGGTGAAGTTGCGTAAAAAACATTACTCGAGAGGAAAAAGCGAACCGACTATGTAAGTAAAGTGACCATCTGAAGTCTTGAAATCGTCTCAAACCTAGTGGAGTTTAAAATTTTACATCTTCGTGCTATCGATTTACTTTTAAAAATTAGAACGACCAAAAATTGAAGGCATGAGGAAAACCATCAAATGTTTGTCATTTGTCAAAAAAAACCTGAAAAACTAGTTCTTTGAGGATGGTACAAAGAAGTTCCTCGATCTGTTTTACTGTGTTTATTTTCATGAATAATACTGAGTTGTTTGACGAAAGAAGTCTTTGTGCTCAGGTGAGGGTGCTATCATGCCATGTGAGTTAGGCTTTCTTCAGTTCTTACGAGTGAATAAATCTTATCAAAACTTTGCAAGCCAAATATTTTCGTCTTATGAATTCTTTAAATGTATTCACTTAACTTCAGTTATTTAAGGACCATGGACTTGCTGATGTTACAACGGCCGTTGTCCAGAATGTTTGCACTGATGGTTTCTTTGTGGCGAATGCGTGCGATGGTGTTTTCCTCGATGTTCCGGCTCCATGGGAGGCTATTCCACATGCCGCAAGCGCCATCTCTCGCACTCGAGGAGGACGTTTGGTGTCATTTAGTCCGTGTATTGAACAGGTATATCGTTAAACGATTAAGTCAGTTGGAAGGTAATCGCTGAGTAACACAGAGCTTTCGGCTTTAGCTTGTTTCGTTTTCCCACTTTTTCCACTAATCGTTCTTTCTCGAATTGAAGATGAGCTTTTCCCTATCTCTCCCTATAAATTCCATCGTTCAAGGTTTAATTGGAACTTCTTTTCTATATGCAACACATTTTTGGTAGGGCGAAAAGAATCCCGTCGGACTAATTACTTGAGCTAACGGATCTATGCAAAGATGCATTTTTGCTTCTTTTCAGTTTCGTTTGATTTAAGCTATCGTGTTGGCAATGTTGCACGTCGATAACAAGTTTCAATTGGGATAGTGTATAATGATTAGCTTACCATCCTTCTTTTACTTTACGAGTTAGGCATTTTAGACCTTAGAAACCCTAGTATTATACCTTATTCTCCTTGTTACTCATCGGACAAACATTTAACAGTGCAGTCCATAATTTAATGAATCGTAGCACAAGAACACGACTTTTAAATGGTTTCATTTTTGGTCGTCTAGTCATGATTATTTTCACCTTCGAACGTTAGCAATTTTGCATAGCTTCTCTATCGCTCTCTGATGTGCCGTTGTCAGGGTTATATCGGCCATGAACTACTTCACACTAGTTGTATAGGATACATTCAAGAAACTTGTGATTTTATGCTGCTGCTAAGCTCCTAAACTAGGGAGTTAAGATGTCTTTTCATTACCTACGTAGAGGTGACCTTATTGTTCCCGTTGACCATTAACAGGTCTTGTTGCTGTAAACGCACTCATTTACAACGCAACGCCATTTGCTTCGTTGTATGTCTTTCAGAAGACCCAAAAAATGCTTTTATTCGAAGCATTTATTTTACAGCTATACAAGAATTGTAGGGAATACGTCTTGTAGCGGTATTATTAGCGATGGCACTGCCTATTTAACTTTGATGTAAGTGTGATCAGCTTAGTTCGTTTAGTTTTGTTTCCGCTACGAGCCATTGTAGCTGAAATTGGTCTGATATTTTTGGCAAGAAGGCGAAGAAATGCTGAGTTACCACTTAATGATCTGAAAAGGCGTCAGGGATTTCAGATTTCATTTTGCAAATTTACCTTTTTTCTTTAGATCGAATGTAGATTTGTTCTTTCAGACAACGAAGTTAGTCCTTCTTAAAACTATGTGTTTTTTTTTTGAAAATTGGTTCAGGTTCAACGAGCTTGCGAAGTTATGCGACAGGTGGGATTTGTGCAAATGGAAACAGTGGAGATCATTCACAGAACATACAAGGTAAGCAAAGTTAATGGTCGAGTTTATCATCGCCGTGCAATTTATGGAATTTACGAAACTAAGTTATTAGTAAATCGCGTGTACTACATTATCATAGATGCCCTGCAATACACATACGTTCGTTAGTTCGAACCCTTCCCCAGAGTTTACCTGGCCTTCTTTCTCTCTGTGCTCAGCAAGCTGATACCACAGTTTGCTGGGAAGATGAGGGTACTTGCTTAATGCATCAACAGGTCACTGCAAATTTTTCTATAAGGCACACGTGCATTCGGCCGCTATGATGCTTCATGAAATCGAATGCATGTTGCATCTCTTACGAACTTCAACCTTTATTTATCCTTTAAGTTATTACAATTTGTGAATGATCTGTACTGTTACTTGATGTTAGTTGATAAGCGTGTTGCGAATAAATCATGAGCATTCTTTTTCAAGACGGTTATTCAAAAATGTGATGAGTGAGATACGCTGAACTGTGGATGGCTTATTACTATGGGTGTACGGTATTTGTCTAAAGGAAGAAACTATCACAATTTTTAATCAACGACTTGAAATACAGGTTGTTGAAGCGCCGCGGCAATCGTTGGCTCAGTTCGACGCATCCGGCGACTTGACAGGTGTACAGGGACCTCGTTTTGCTACCGATCGGTGTAGGAAAAGAAAACTCGAGGAAGAATCTTTGGAGTGGGTATTTATTTTAGCTTAGTCATTCATTCAATATCACTTAGTTATTTCTTCGTTGATATACGTATCTGTTCCTGATCAATTTTGTATATTCCTTCCCCATAGGCTCAATTTTCGAATTTTTCAAATATAGGCAGTATATAAAAAGTAAACTGTAGAAGATATTTACCTGTACACTGTCTGTTCTTCTTAAGAACCATTTGGATCAATGCATATAATTCTACAATTTTTGAGACACGTTATTTTTTCATCGCTTCAATTCCAAAAATAGGAAAAGTTGTAGTTAGTTTCTTAAAGAAGTAACTAGATGTAGCTTCCATTTGCCATTTCTCGAGGCGTTTTGTTTAAAATCTTTTGCCAGTAGGTATAAAGGCGTAATCATTTTGTACGCTCCTTAGCTGGGAACAATAACTCCTCGATGAGGAAGGCCTTGATAGTGTGATAATACAATACAGTACAAAACCCTTTTCATACAGAAAGTTTGAATCCCAAAAATGATTTCGATAATGCGAACAATGAACATTTTTATAGTACTGGCAAACTTCCTCTGAGTTACTTTGAAAACCAAACGAAATGGATACTTTGTCACTTTGTCACCATCATTATATGGCAAAGGCTAATCCAGTACCTATAAGCAATCTAATAGTTCTCAGATTGTATTCACACTTATTTCTATACACCCTAATATTAACTGCTTTTTGAGCAGAAAACTGAATTCTTAAAGGATCATGGATAACTGTGATTATTTCTTAGTGAAAGAGTTAACTTATATGTATGAAATTACATGAGTGAATGACCAATCTTCAATAACAAAGTGTACTGTGTGGACATCCGCACAATTTCCGCTTGATTAGTTGTTACTGGTTGGAGACAATTTTCTTTCCACGGGATCCGAAAGTTGTGGTAGAGCTTTCTCAGATTGTAACCTGCCAGCTAGTGAACATGGCATTCCTTCGATTTTCTTGGTTTATTTTTTAGTTTTTCGGATTCCCATTGCTGGTTTACCGTTCTCTTGATTTCTTCTCGAAAATTTCGAATTCTTGCTCATAATGAGAAACTTTGGTGAAGTAGATGTCCGTTGTACGTTGCAGTTCAACAGCCAAAAAGACCACGCAGCCATAAGGCTGTATACCATTCCTTGAAATGAGCTTAGTTATAAAGTCTAAAGGAAATTTTTCATATAAATAATTAGGGAGTTCAAAAGTATACTACATGCCTCCTTTGTCGATATTCTCAAATATATCTTTCTTAAAACCAGAAAAGTTTGCAAATTTCTATAACCGTTTTCTCTACGGCAGCCATGTGCGTAGTTGGACTTATGGATAATAGTAATAGCTTAGCCTACTGTACTTTGCTGTCTATTTTGAATGAAGGCAACAAATAAAGGATAAGGGATAATGTGTAGCGTACGACGTTGATCAATCTCTAAGAGATGCGTGCGTCATGCATTTGTTCCCATGGGGTGAAGGCTTAGCTAATCAGAGGCGTAGAACGGAACCAATGATGACGTATGTATTTCAGGACATCTCTTGCTTTGCCCTAAACCCCTCTACGGGCAAGAAAAACTATACGCTATACATCAATGTGCAGGTTTTCCTAGATATTTGGAGCGAGAACTCTGTTTTCTGCCTTGATACCTATTTATCCTAGGAATCTTTTTTTGCATTTGAGTTCTTCCTTTCTGCAATGTACCAACCTCAACGAAAACTTTGCGCAGGCGTAAATAATTAACTAAGTTTATAAAAAATTTATCAAGTAGTGGTTAAACACTTAGGTTTGATGGAATCGGTGTTGTAAAATTTCAGATGATGTCTTGTAATAACTCAATTTACTAAGACGCACGAAATTTCATTCTAATAAAAACTATAACGAGTTATATTTCAACATTTGAAAGAACCAGTTCGAGAACGTGAACTATTTTCTATCTCCAGAAAGGGTAGTCGCAGGTTCGAATCTGGTCCGGGGTCCAAGCTTTGCAGATATCTCAGCATCATAGCGGTTGTACTTCACATCATGCCCTGCTGAAAAAAGTAATGAAGGATAAAAGGACAAAGCTTTCGGCGTTAATCAATCCTTGAGGTATACGCCATGCATTCGACTTCACTAAGCATCGCTGGAGGTGATTGAATGTTCTGGCCTACGGATGTATCCAGCCAGTTCTGCTATCCTCCCTGACAATTCTGGTACCGTTTTACTGACCCCGAAGGTTTGGAGCGCTTGGTGGTCCTGAGGCGCAAAGATCGATCCTATGTGTGCTGCAGGGCGCCTGTGACCACTGCGCTACACACACCCCAAATGAGTAATAGTAGGCAGCAAACGAATATGTTAACATGTGTTACACTTTCTTGGTCATGTCATCCTTAGAAAGGAAATACTGTATCTTACATGATGCTGTATTTGTTTTGGGTCATTTTTCTTCATGCTATGTCTTGTGCTGTTTTTTCAATTAAATAGTCAAATAGCACTTTTCACGAACGTTTAGTTTCGTAACGGTACACGTTTTTCAGTTGAATGTCAGTTAAATGCAATGTGTAGTTTTAGTGGCTTCACATTAATACATATATTTGTAGAGCAACTACACCGTCGAAGTCTGGTCGTCCGTCGGCAATCGTATATCCCTTTTGTCAACCGACGCATACTGGCTATTTAACGCATGCTACAATGTTGCCAAGGGAATAGCGAGTAAACTTTCGGTACAAATTAGCGTTCCATTTGTTCGGCTAGAAGTTTCTTTTTGTGATTTTTTCGTTTCCCATTATTTGATTTGATAGCATTGTTTGTATACCACGCCGTCGTTAGCGCTTAAGTTGCGTTTATTCTTGATATATTCATTTAAATGTTAAGCTGCAGATTTTTCCCATATGTTTCCGTAATGGTGATAGAATGTTGCTATAGTATGCGCACCTGTTCTAGCGCCAGTGAGAGGATAAATCACACGAATGTGACATCGTCTACAACTTGAGAGTTAGTTCTGATACTACAATAGGTCTGTGTTGCATTTCACTTTTGTTGAGAGTTTTGTATAAAAATTTCTATGAAACTGTTGACA